TTCATCAGGCAATACTGTAATTATGGTGCATGCATGCGACTTCATGAGCCTCTTAGTGGTACAATACAGTATTTAACACACATATATGAGCATAATTAGCCTTTTTTTTACAATATTAAACTGTTTTTACAGCAATATAAAGCTTTTCATCAGGCAATACTGTAATTATGATGCATGCATGAGACTAACACAAACATCTTACTCCTATAATACACTATTTAACACACATATTAGAGCATAATTAGTTTTTTTTACAGTATTAAACTGTTTCTGCAGCATTATAGTGCTTTACTGTAATTATGTAAGACTCCATGAGCCTCTTATTCCTAAATTTCAGTATTTAACACGCATATAAGACCATAGTTTGCATTTTTTTTACAATATTAAACTATTTTTACCCCATTGTAATACTTTTCAGCAGCAATACTGTAACTATAGTGCATGCATGAGACTTCAAATACAGTATTTAACACACACATAAGAGCATGATTTGCCTTTTACTGACTCAGCAGACACACCTGAATATCTTGAGAATCCATTATTAAAGTAAATGAGCAGTCACCCATAATACTGTAATTACTGCAGTTAGTATGGTGTTTATAACTGGTTTAAATTAAACACTGACTGTGGTTTTGAAATAAGGTGAATGATGATTAAGCTAATGCTAAAATTCATACATTCATTTTCTTTTTGCTTAGTCCCTTTATTAATCTGGGGTCGCCACAGCGGAATGAACCGCCAACTTATCCAGCATATGTTTTACGCAGCGGATACCCTTCCAGCTGCAAGCCATCACTGGGAAACATCCATCCAGCCTCATTTTGTGTATTCACATGAAGGGGTAGGGGTGTCTCAATTCTCTTTATCTTGAAGGCTTAGGGCAAAGGGAAAGGGCAAGATAGTAGGGTTATTGCGATACCATTAGTTCATTTTACAATGCACTGAAAACCCTAATTATTTGACTAAACTAAATGAAGAGTAAACTCGTTGCCTCAATTTAATTGAGCAATGGAGTCTCCCAGTCTTAACTGGGAAACATCCACACACACACTCATACACTACGGACAATTTAGCCAACCCAATTCACCTGTACCGCATGTGTTTAAACTGTGGGGGGAACCGGAGCACCCGGAGGAAACCCACACAAATGCAGGGAGAACATGCAAACTCCACACTGAAACGCCAACTGAGCCGAGGCTCGAACCAGCGACCTTCTTGCGCTGAACGGCAGAAGTGTGAGGAAGAAGCAGTACATGAAGAGTAAACAAATTACAAATAATGGCGATCATGTGGTGAATGTTAATCCACCAGTCGAGATCAACCGAGTGATTTCAGAGAGAGCGCTGAAAGTGTAACAGGGTATATGCCGAGCTAGTGCTGTTCCCATGCTGATACACTTCCGGTGGCCTGTTATTGTGAACTTTTTTCCATTTTATACGGTTCCTTATACAGCATTGATGTTGTAATGTCATTAAAATACATTCAGTTAAATAAGCTTTAGCATTTATTTAGTTGCTCAAGCGTAAAACGAGACAAAAAGCCGTTTACTCGCACGCGCCCGTCAGAATCGGCAGGCTAACGCAGAAGCTCCATTGAATATACTGGGGTAAAATAAATGCTCATATTATAAAGATATGGCGGGGGGAATGTAATTTAATGCAGTGCTTCTTGTACAATCTGAGACCCACTTTATATCGGATATAACTCAGCTAGTGGAGATGGCTGATTTTTTTAAAGAAAACAGACCTTAAACGCACCGGATTTTGCATTGCCATTCAATTCACCGGAAGCGCTTAACCCAGGTTACTGGCAAATTAAAAGTCCTATTAGCATGCTTCGGCATATACCCCACTGCCCATGATTTAATGTACTCGCTTTGCTTGCCATAATTGGAGTCACCACAGGAGGGCGCTCTAGACTGATAGGATTTAAGTGAGACAAAGCAGAGTAAGAGCAGTTCACGTTTGTTCACGAGCTAACAGGTACAGCTCGAAAGAATGCCTTGAGCTTTTAGTGTCCCTTCGGCAAGCAGAGCAAGGTATGTTTTGTTTATTGTTTGATTTATTTGGAAAATGTTAAATGTTTTGTAAATGTTTGTTGTTTGTATGAACACTAATGTACGAGTGTATGAGTGTGTGTGTGAATGTGTGTGTGGATGTTTCCCAGAGATGGGTTGCGGCTGGAAGGGCATCCGCTGCGTAAAAACTTGCTGGATAAGTTGGCGGTTCATTCCGCTGTGGCGACCCCGGATTAATAAAGGGACTAAGCCGACAAGAAAATGAATGAATGAATGATTTTAATTTCATCATAGTATAATAAAATATGCTGATATTTTAATATTTTTATAGTATTAATTAGTTACTGAGCAGCAATAAATAACACTGTAAAATATAAGGAGTTTTCATCATATTTTCTAAACTAGTGGGGTTTGAAATTGATGAATGCATAATAATCGTGATAACCCTAAAACCGAGATTATTTCTCAGACTATAATCATATAACCAAAATCTATAACTGTTGCATCCCTGGGGCGAAGCAGTGGCGCAGTAGGTAGTGCTGTCGCCTCACAGCAAGAAGGTCGTTGGGTCGCTGGTTCGAGCCTCGGCTCAGTTGGCGTTTCTGTGTGGAGTTTGCATGTTCTCCCTGCGTTCGCGTGGGTTTCCTCCGGTTGCTCCGGTTTCCCCCACAGTCCAAACACATGCGCTATAGGGGAATTGGGTAGGCTAAATTGTCCGTAGAGTATAGCCCCTTACACACATACAGACCTTTCCGGAAAATTGCCTGGCTATTTTCCGGAAAGAGAAGTTGTAACATTACCGGCAATTTGCCGGAATGCTGCGCTGTGTGAATGCAGAAGGAAGATTCCCGTAATAAGCGCGTGCACATCTAGAACGTGCTGACGTGAGACGTCTGCTTTAGCCAATCACAACAGTCAGACGCATTTACGTCCGCGCGGTTTGTGAGAATAAAAGCCTTTGAATATTTTTCCAGACACATTCAGCTGCTAGAAGTTAGTCAGATCACGTTTATATGTTCTTCTTAATGCCAACTGTGTAAATAATCATCGATGAGATGCTTATGATAAGCCGTTGTTTGTTTACCTTCAAGCTTTGCGTGTGCCTGTGAAACAGCCTGTGAGCGCCTGCACACGCACATATTATGAACATCTCGACATGCGAAAGTGATCCTGCGAAAGTTGTTCACAATATTGATCATCCACAGAGTTTGTGATGTAGTCAAATGTTTACAAACACAAGCGCAGCCGTTTAAAGCTCATTTGTGGTGAATGATGTCAGAATTTACCGGTATTTTGGAATGGATGTGTGAATGCTCTTTTCCGGAAAATTTCCGTAACATCCTCGCCTGTTTGAACAGCGCTTTTTTAAAAATACCGGTAAAGTCGTTCCGGAAATTTTCCAGATATTTACCGGTATCACTGTGTGAAAGGGGCTTATGAGTATGAGTGTGTGTGTGGATGTTTCCCAGAGATGGGTTGCAGCTGGAAGGGCATCTGCTGCGTAAAAAAAACTTGCTGGATAAGTTGGCGGTTCATTTCGCTGTGGCAACCCCGGATTATTAAAGGGACTAAGCCGACAAGAAATTGAATGAATGAATGAATGTTGCATCCCTAATAGGCAGGGCCAGACGGAATCTGCGGACGTTTTTTGCTATTTCTGTAGTATCCAGCGGAGTATCATAACTTACACCTTAATATATTAAATAAAAAGTAATAAATTACTAAATAAAAACTGAATAAATTCAGATTTACACATTTACTTAAGTAAATAAACAGAATTAATAATGTGCTAAAAATCTGCAGAAATCTGCGGAATTCTGCGGAATTCTGCGCGCGCAGATTCCGTGTGGGCCTACTAATAGGCAAGAGCCGGTGTATTATTCTGACAGTATAACCTTGGATAAAAATATCACGGTATCACAATATTGTGGTTACTGCTCTAAAGTATACTCTTTGTACATTTTTCCATTTTAAACAATATATTTTATTTTAAGAAACATTTGTAATATTTTAGAGCAGTAAACATGTCAGGCTGACTTCTGCTGTCTTCGTTAGCTTCAAAAACACTGAATTCTTTACAAAATAAATGGCATCTTTGGATATGTTTTCTGCTGGAGATACTGTTGTCCTAAAAATAAACGTAAATAAAAAATCTTACACATACCTTAGAAACGGTATTGAAGAACATTTTAAAACCTTGACTTTACCAAACCGCGGTATACCTTTAAAACGGTTATCATCCCATGCCTACATGACACCACAAATAAAATTAAAAATTTTAATTATTTGTTTATATTACTATAGTTGTGTAACCATAGCAACAGATAGACTCACCACAACAGATCAGTTCAATAATCTAACTAATAACATAGCTTAAAACCACTACTACAATATTAACATAGTGTATATTGTATGTATACAATATTAATATAGTGTATATCCTGTCCATGTTCAAACTGGGTTATTGTACACTTCATGAGGGCTTATTTAGCAGACTCCAGCTGCATTTCAGCAGCACATCTGCTCGACATTAGACTTTCCCTTTAGCTGAGCAGCAGGAATGAAGCTCCTCACACTCCTCCACGTCTGATTGCTTGCTGTCCATCTGATCTCTCAATACATCTCGCCCACATTTACACCCACACACACAAATCACAGTCTTCAAAAACACCAGTGCATCATCACCCAAACCATATGCACACAGCATATATGAGGTAAAAACTGATGCAACAAATATACAAACGCGTCTCCAGCTGATGTTTGTTTACATTCACGTGACAAATCCAACATTGCTTTTCTCTGACACAAACAAAAACAAAAGCTCCACTGTTTCACCGACAGCCAAAACATGGCGAATTTTCCTCCTGGCACCGCCACATGATGTAGTCCAGCCGGACATTTAGGACACCACCGATGTTATAATAACAATACATTAGTTTAACACAGATGTCATTGGATGATGTGTAATGTAGGTTAGTTTTACCTGTGACCGAGTGTTTGTCCTCTATGCTGCTGTGATGTGGAGCAGGGCTGATGTGGAGACACTCATTAAATTCCTCGTGTGTGTGTGTGTGTGTGTGTGTGTGTGTGTGCTGCTAGTTTAAAGTATTCCTAACGGAGGAGCTGAAATAACTGAGAGTGTCGGACTGACTCACACACACTGCTACTGACACATCTGTGACTCCGCCTACTGAGACATGAGGCGTGGCTAGAGCGCTCTTCTGCCAATCAGAAGCAGCGACTGTGTGCTCGAGTTTTGCATATAGTATAGTTTAGAATAAATAAATATATTAAAATAAGGAACTTTTCTGACCATCCAATCACTCTGTAAAAGAAAAAAATATATAAAATAAAATGAACCGCAATTAAATTAAATTAAATACATAAATTAAATAAATTAAATATTTAATAAAATATATAAAATATAAATATTTATTCAAAAAATGTATAATGCATATTAATAAAATATAATAAATTAAATATAAATGTATAAAATAAAAATTAAAAATAAAATACATTTAATTTAATTTGACTTTAATAAGTTATTAATATTAATTGAAGTAAACAAATAAATGCTCATTCATTCATTCATTCATTCATTTTCATTTTGGATTAGTTCCTTTATTAATCAGGGGTCGCCACAGCAGAATGAACCGCCAACTTATCCAGTATATGTTTTACACAGCGGATGCCTTTCCAGCTGCAACCCAACACTGGGAAACACCCATACACTCTTGCATTTACACACATACACTACGGCCAATTTAGTTTATTCAATTCCCCTATACATCCTTTCTTTGAACTGTACAGAGGAAACCCACACCAACACGGGGAGAACATGCAAATTCCCAACAGAAATGCAACTGACCCAGCCGGGGCTCAAACCAGAGACCCTTTGCTGTGGGACGATCCTGATACCCACTGCGCCACCGTGACGCCCCTAACATAAATATGTATTCATTCATTCATTTTCTTTTTGGCTTAGTTCCTCTTTTAATCTGAGGTCGCCACAGCGGAATGAACCGCCAACTTATCCAGCACGTTTTTACGCAGCAGATGCCCTTCCAGCTGCAGCCCATCACTGGGAAACCTAAAATAAATATACGTAAAATAAAAATATTTAAACAGTATGATGAACGTACAAATCCTTACGTGAACTTTGCAGATGTTCAATCTGATCTCTCTGTCTGGAATGAGACACACCCAAGACAACATCATGTTTCAAAACTTTCTGATTCACAAAAAGATTTGTAAATAACTCACAGATTGATTAAATTAACTAATATTATTGTCTTTTTTTACCAATAGCCAACATAAATGACATTTAAAAAGCAACGCATCTACTCAGAAACTGTAAATCTAGGCCTACAGTAGATTAATAATGAGCTTGTGCAGCACTTTGGTTGAATTAAGCTTTATCAGACCAAATGCATTTACCAAATCTACCAGCATGAGCTGATGAAAAAATGTGAGGGATCAAGTTTTGTCCTGCATGAGTGAGTGTGTAAAAGTGTTCATGTTATACACAATAGTATGACGACATGAACCGAAGCGACATTTAAAAAATGCAGGATACATACAAAATGCACAGTTATGTTTTAACATAGGTTTAGTCGTGCCTAATAATCAGTTTCATTATTGATTTTGCTGCAATTATAAAACAAGTGTGACCAAGTTTTAGGTCACAAGAAGCCTAAATTAATTATTCTTTCATTTTCTTGTTGGCTTAGTTTCTTTATTTATCCAGGGTCGCCACAGCAGAATAAACCGCCAACTTATTGAGCATGTTTTTACGCAGGGGATGCCCTTCCAGCCGCAACCCATCTCTGGGAAACATCCACACACACTCATACACTATGGACAATTTCGCCTACCCAATTCACCTGTACCGCATGTGTTTGGACTGTGGGGGAAACCGGAGCACCCGGAGGAAACCCACGCGAACGCAGGGAGAACATGCAAACTCCACACAGAAACGCCAACCGAGCCGAGGCTCGAACCAGCGACTCAGCAACCTTCTTGCTGTGAGGCGACAGCACTACCTACTGCGCCCTAAATTAATTATATATTGTCAAAAGGTGCAAGCCTAAGCTGAACAGCTGTGATCTCTGATCCATCAGGTGGCACTGCATCAAGAATTGGCATTCATCTAGAAAAGATGGGCTCCGGATTACTTTGGCAAACCGTTGTCAAGTGCTACAATAAATAGTTACATCCACAAATGATCTGTCTGCAGTCCTAACCTGTCTCCAATAGAGAATGTGCATTTGCGTTTTTCATACTGTCCCAACTTGCTCTGATTTGGGGTTGTATTTGAATATATTTATATTATTTATTACTCACATGTGTGTATTACTTGCATCCTGTATATATAATGGCCATTTTGTGTCTTTTACGTCGATATATTTTAGGTGTATTATTTTGTTTTTCGTTTTACATTCATTCATTTGTTTTCTTGTTGGCTTAGTGCCTTTATTAACCTGGGGTCGCCACAGCGGAATGAACCACCAACAGGAGGTTTTTACACAGCAGATGCCCTTCCAGCTGCAACCCATCTCTGGGAAACATCCACACACACTTTACACACACACACTCATACACTATGGGCAATTTAGCCTACCCAATTCACCTGTACCACATGGGGAAACCGGAGCACCCGGAGGAAACCCACGCGAACGCTGGGAGAACATGCAAACTCCACACAGAAACGCCAACTGAGCTGAGGCTCGAACCAGCGACCTTCTTGCTGTGAGGCGACAGCACTACCTACTGCGCCACTGCCTCGCCTATTCGTTTTACAATTGTTTTTAACTAATGTTACCGTGTTGTACTGTTACGCTGTTTGTTTGTTAACCAAACTGCTTATCTTTATTTTATTTTGTATACATCTGGTACTTTAAACTTGTTTAGTGATCATTGTAGCTTATTAATTCTGTTAATCAAACACACGGGTCTGTGTATATTGAGCAATAAATTCACTCCATCATGCATTTACTTTGATAAATTGCACACATTTGCGCATGTAACAGGCTATTGCTTGAACAACTTGATTTTTCACTGAAAGCGAATGAGATGTACAGTGAAGATGGAATGTACACCATGCCTTAATCACATTGATGGTGGTTCACATTTTCTTAAATCAAAATTACTAGACGCCTTGCTTCATGTAATAAATTTATTTTCAACAGTTCACACGTAACTGATAATCAATAAAGCGTAATTGGCACGCTGTCCCGGGAGAGAGCCCTGAACTCGTAATAGTCCCGAGCACGGGGCTCCCTCCCGTTAGAAGGGCGAGAGGGGAGTTTGAGCTCAGGTAGGTCTCGAGAACTCCCCTGCTTGTCGGCGTGTGAGAAGTGTAAACTATGGTTATCTTGGGTGATAATTTGGTTTAGTCGATTGGCTATGATTTATGTTTTTGGACGGTGGGAAGAAACCGGAGAATCCAGGGGAAACCAACGTGAACACTGGGAGAACATAGAAACCTTTCACAGAAATGCCAACCGGCCCCATAGGAGGTTGGACCAGCGGTGTTCTTGCTGTCAGGTGACATTGCTAGCCACTGGGCCTCTGTGTTGCCCTATCGGAGAAACAAGGGTGGGAAGTAGGGGTGGAAGAGGGGGAAACTTCAAGACGAAGATAACTGGAGTGAAAAACTCTGGTTATTTATAATGCGTCTGTAATCATCTAATAGGGCAGATTACAGAGCTAATCAGGTGCCAGCCTTGTGGATCATAAGCACATATGATAACATAAGATTATAAGATACATAAGATCCTCTCGTAATTAGTTTAGAAATAAACCACACTTTTTGCTAATGTACAACAAAACCAGTGAATCCATGATGAGGTAAGTGACATTATAAAGTACACTGCCATACCATTTGAAGAAGTACATGACTTGTGTCCTCGTGTCATCGGAAGTTTGTTCTTACAAATCTGAACTTGGCAAGTCTAAACTTCCAAGGACGCAAATCCAAACTTTGCGTACTTGCATACCTGCCAACACTCCCGTATTTCAGACCCATCTCCCGCCACCCTCCCGTTTTGTTATTTCTACAAAAAAACTTCCTTAATTTCACCCCGATGGTCCTCAGCTTTTTGGTGGATGTAATCTTTTTCAGTCTGTAACACCCTGGGTCACCAACTTTGGTATGGTATCCGAACACAGCGGCTGCCCGAAACCCGCTCTATAGTAACAACACAGTACAGTTTCTAACCTGGCTCTCTACAGTGTTATTCAGACACCCAAATCAACTCCCAAATTCCCCCAACCACCCCTCCGGTCTCACAGACTTTCAGAGACAAATGTTGGGAGGTATGTACTTAGTAATAAGTCACCCTAACTGTTTCCATCTGTTTTATTTATATTTATTAGTGGGTCTGCAACATATTGTGGGAGTTCTCCGGGATCGGCTCCTGATGTCCATTAGAAGCTGATCAAGTGATTTTTCAGAAATTAGAGAATCAAATGCAAACTCAGACACTAACCCGAATATAGTTTATGTCAGGGTTCTGCCACTCTGGTCTTGTAAATTCTAGTTTTGGTGGCAGAGTCCGGACACTAGCTCTGTCTTGTCCTGTTTCTGTCATTGTGCGTGTCTCTGTATGAGCACCAATTGTTAAAGTGCTTGGACTGAGCGCGTTCCCGCTTGATGCGGGTGCTTGAGGTCTATGCGTGTTTGCAATTGTGCGCTCCTGTACGGATGTTCAAATTCGTCGGTCTGCAGCGTGTTGCTTCATTCCCAGTGTCTCAGACTAGTTGGTCTCGGTTCCGGTCGGCGCTGGGATGAAACATGCATGCTGCCTGTGTGAGTGCACGGTAAGTGTTTTCATTCATCGCGTACTCGTGTCTCGTGTTCAGTCTTCTGTTGGTGTTGTGTTTAGCACATGGTGTGTTTACATGCACCGCATGCTTGTGTTGTCATGAACACACAGTTAATGAGTTCTCTCATTGGCTGTGTGTTCTAGTCTCGTTTTATGTGAGCCCATGGCTTGTGTTGTCTCTTTGTGTCATGTGCTCTCCCTTCTATTGTCTAGTCCCACCCTCCTTGTTAATCCATTATTAGTTAATGATGTTCATCTGTTTTTGTTGATTTACTTCTCCTTATATTCCCCTCATGTCTGCTGTCCTGTGCCAGTTCGTCATCATATGTCGTCGTTTGTAGCCTTGTCCTGTCT